ACACTTTTACCAGAACTCAGACTTTACCTAACTCTGACAAGGTAAGAACCTCACTACTTTACCTTTGAAAACATTTGATATACATCATGCACAGAAAAACTCGGAGCTTGTTGACATTTCACATTAATAATAATAATTATTATTATTATTATTATTATTATTATTATTATTATTATTATTATTATTATTATTATTATTATTATTAATAATAATAATAATAATATTTTATGTTAATATTATTATTATTATTTGTTACTTCCTCTTTGCTCTTGCCTTGTATTTGTCGACCAATGTTGTTATATGTTGAATAACTTCTTCTAGTTGTTTGTGTGTCATTTTGTTTTTCTATCTTTTTTGTCAAATGTTTCTTGTACTTTGTTTTTTTTTCAGTCTTAGATTTAAAATAGATGAGCAGGCATTTTCTCCATCCCATTATCTGTATCTTTCAAAATATTTATATCTATCTATATCTATCTCATTATCTCTCTCCATAAATACAGTATGGTTTCATTTACGAATGTATCAGAGTAGATTTATTGTCAGGACGGTGGTCTTTTTTCCGTGCGGTACATTAACAACAGAGCTGCTGGAATTTATTTTTATTTTTTTTTATTTTTTCTGGGTTTTTGTCTTTAAGATTTTATGATACTTTTGAGCTTCCTTTGCCATCCTCTCAAAATTGCAAATAATACTACAAGTTTTCAACAATTATATACATTTCTAATTATATACACACACATTTTTATTTGCTTTTATTATACTGTGTTCATATGTTTTATTATTATTATTATTATTATTATTATTATTATTAGTATTTTCCATTTATGTGATCCTTTACATTCTAAAGCTGTTTTCATGAAGTGCAATACCCGTAAAAGCCCTTTGGAGGGAGCTGTAGACCGTGACATTGTGGATAAAACGGTGCGGCTGCCATGTTTAAAAGATCTGCTCATAGTCGAGCTGTGACACAAAGAGATGCAGAAACACTGAAGAAAGACGGAGCCATGAGATACTCTGTGGATTATTTCTAAAGAAAGGCAGCACGGCTTCTGTTTGTATTGGACCTCACAACCTTTATTTTTTATTTTTATTATTAATAATATTCTGGATTAATCTCTGATCCGATTATGTATTTAAATAACATCAATCTGTTGGATCTTGTATTGGTTTTATTGTCTTGTTGCTGCTGGACGGGGGTGTTCGGGCAGCTCTCCTATTCCATATCTGAGGAAGTAATCCCGGGGACCTCTGTGGGGAATATTGCCAGAGATCTGAACCTTGCTCTGCATGATCTGGAGCCTCGCATGTTTCAAATAGTCACAGGAGGAAAGAGAAGACACTTTGAGGTAAACCTGAAGACGGGTGTTCTCTTTGTCGCTGACAGAATAGACAGAGAGGGGCTCTGCGCAAAAGCAGCCGCATGCACAGTGAGCGTGGAGGCGGTGATAAAAGCTCCTTTAAAGCTTTACCGTGTGGACATTAATATTCTAGATGTTAATGACAACTATCCATCTTTTACTACCAAGTCTCAAAACATCAAAATAGCTGAAAGCACATTGCCTGAGACTAAATTTCTTGTGCTTTCAGCCTATGATGCCGATGTGGGCAAAAACGACATCAGCACCTACAAGCTGAGCGCAAATGATCATTTCTCTTTAGCGGTGAACAAAGGGGATAGGGTGTCCGCTGAGCTGATCCTCCAGAAGCCTTTAGACCGAGAGACACAGCCCGTTATCAGACTCATACTGACTGCTGTGGATGGAGGGACACCTCCAAAATCAGGAACGTCACAGCTAATTATTAATGTCTTGGATGTGAATGATAACGTTCCGACATTTGCTAAACCTTTGTATAAAACAAGCCTTACTGAAAACACAGCCCTTGGGTCTTCAGTAATAACTGTTGCTGCAACAGATAAAGATGAAGGACCCAACGCAGAGGTTACATATTCACTGAGCAGCAAAGACCAAGACCACATTTTAGATTTATTCCAAATGAACGAGCAGACAGGGTTAATAACAGTCAAAGGGAACATTGACTATGAAGAGCATCGTGCTTTTGAAATCCGTGTTCAGGCCACAGACAGAGGCTTTCCACCAATGATGTCACAGTGCAAAGTACTGATTGAAGTGGGGGACTTAAATGACAATGTTCCAGAAATAACTGTAACTACGCTGAGTAGCACAATAAAGGAGGATGTAAATATAGGTACAGCTATTGCACTAGTGTCAGTCCTGGACAAAGATGGAGGGAAAAACGGAATTGTACACTGCAGCATTCAAAATGAAAGTCCCTTCAAACTAGAAACAAATTATAAAAATTATTACACGTTGGTGGTGGACAGACAGCTAGACAGGGAGGCTGATTTGCAACATAACATTACGATCATGGCATCAGATGAAGGAATCCCAGCTTTGACTAGTTCACACGACTTCACTGTTTATATTTCAGATGTAAATGACAATCCCCCTTTATTTTCAGATAATCACATTTATGTTTATTTAAAAGAGAACACTCCTGTTGGAACTGTTTTAAAAAAGATATTGGCAAATGATGCAGATATTGATCAGAATGCACAAGTCAGCTATTCAATTATTGAAACTAGTAATAAAAATTTACCATTATTAACAATGATAAACATCAACTCAGAGACAGGTGATATAACCACTCTGCAAAGTTTTAATTATGAGGAGTTGAAAACATTTCAGTTTAAAGTCCAGGCCGCAGACTCTGGTGTTCCTCCACTCAGCAGCAACGTGACTGTAAATGTT